AAAATACTAATTAAACCTAACTAATTACCACAATTAACAAAATAAGGAAAAGCTAACTCAGAAATCAAAAATTAGAACTAAAAGGTGCAAGATGACTATTTTTTGTGATTTTCCATTTTTATAAAATAACCTAATTACTCAATTAACCCTAAAATGCTAAATTAAATCCTAGAAACAAATGCACATATATTTTTGTATTTTTTCATTAATTAAAATGCACAGACAAAAATGCAAACAATTAACAGAACATGTCACGAAAATTCAAACAATTGCAAATGCTGAAAGAAATTATTTTGTTTTGAAATTCTGGGAGTAATTCATATAGGGCAAAATCACGTGCTCACACTGAGTATGTTGTTGTTGTTGTTGTCTTATTACATTCGGGACAACTGTTGCATTATTATTGTACTCCTTAGAGAAATGCTCATGCACTTGTGACACCGGATTTTGGGGGTTCCTATTTGTTGTTTGGTATCGTAGATCACATAATTATCATCATCTACCGTGTAAATTCTATTTTATACTGTTTAATTGTTGAAAATTAGAAATTTCAAAGTAATAAAATGGGTAATCTAATCGATAAATCAACTTTGGCTTGCCTAACGGCGGTGTTGACCACCATCACGACCTATAGTGGATTTTGGATCGTGACAGTATTCTTCTTTTACTATTCTTGCATCATCTTGTACTAGGTAGGTAGGCAGTGCAACCAACATACTATGGGAGTATTTTGCTATGCATCTGTTAGATATATAGCCGCTAGTCGTCATCTAGAAATATTTAAGTAGATTATAAGAAGTTTGCTTAGTACCCTAGATCATTTGAATTACATAGATACATCCTCTCATTGATCTCATATGTCATTTATCATATTTTGTTGTGCTTACAATTATGATTCATAAGTTGCAGCTTGTACCAGCAAACACAAACTAAATGTGTTTACTCAGTCAATGGTCTTCCTCTTCGCATGAGTCTATCATCTTAAAAGCAAGGTCACTAATAAAGTGAAAAACAATAAAGGTAGCTTTTCATGTATTGTTTGTTGTTCTATATCATAAAATTGCACGTCGATCAAGCTCAAGAGCTCGTTCTTTAAAAACATGCTCAATAGGTAGCGGATAAAGAGTGATGATATGCAGCAATAAGTACAAGTGAGGGTCATCATTTTCCATATCATTCAGAATGCCAAGCTCGATATCACAGAAAAGTCAGTTGCCTCAGTAAATACCTATTACTCAAGGAATTGGTAGTCTTTTAATTCATTAGAATCATCGATTCCCCAGAAAAATACTAGCATTTTTGTCCTAAATATCTCTGTAGTCTCACAATTATAAGTGTGACGCGCAACACATTTATAAATAGGTCTCTACTAGATAAATCTTCATGACCCATAAACCTTTTGACCGACACTAAATTTATCACAACCTGAGAGTGGAGGGTGCTGTAACCGGCACTCGATTACATTATATTGCAGTCGGGTGAAACCATATTCCATGACGCCTATCATACATCAACATGCAAATTAAGGTACTAAGTTGCCCAAATCTGTCACGCCTCAAGATGTCTCTTAAACTTACCATCGAGCGAACCAGCCTAGCATGACGTGTTCACACAATCCATGCATAGTTACAATTTATAAGCATTTCGTAAATATCTTAAGTAACAATTTCAAATTATAAAGTATGACAACATTGGCCTAAACGTTTGAAATAGCAACACATCATAAGTCATTATAATATCAAAATGAGTCATTCAATCATGTCATGCAACACTTCAACTTAATGACAAAACGAGCCTTCCAACTCACAAGTGTATGTTTTAAGGTAATCGTGCCTACAAATAGTTTGTGGAAACCATAGTTAGGTTCATGCCTAGTAGCCGGAGTGTATGCTTGAGTTCGAGTACTTCTTGTACGAAGGTACAATAGGTGTCTGGGTACGATATCCATGCAGTTCATCAGATTATCACGATATGCCACTTATATTGTGCCTAATGAGGAGAAGAGGGTGAATGGTGTTGGAAAAATTAGTGGTTTCTCAAAAGAGAATGTGCATTGGAAAAACTTATCTTTTTTGAAGTATTAATTTTATTACTACTTATTATTTAGTAAATTGTTTTATATTTAATAGAGTCAAACTAGTCATTGGAGCAACGCCTATATGAACATGGTCTTTGGAGAACTAAAGATACTTTGTAAAACAACTTTCTGAATCATCTTCTTCCTCCTATACGTAGGGTTTCTTTCTTGAATTTTCTACTTGTTCTGTCCCCCGATTTAATAATTGGAAGAGCTTGTTGAATCCTGAGGGATATGTCTAATTTTATTCATTATTGTGTGCGCGAAATATCCTTAAGAATTGTGTCCTTGACACGCCTCAAGCTAAATCCTATTCTCCATAAATAATTTTTACAACAATCTTAAGGATATTTTCACACTATTATTATGGAGATACCAATTACAATATTTTCGTTGAACAAACTATTTTAGTCATTGCTCTAATTCCACTCGGTGGTATATATGTGTTCATCCATCTTTTCTTCAGAGAAGGTAAAGATTGCAATTGTTCGGCTTAGCATGTTCATCATAGCAATGATATGGAATAATCATCAGATGTTCGATGTTGGTAACTTAATATGTCTTTCTCCCAATCATCTATAGTTGTTGATGAAATGCTATTCATTCTTTTTGTTCTCTTTTAACTATATGAGATTTAGTTTGATATTGTTAACCACTCACCTATTTAAAAATTATATATAATTTTATGTTGATTGGAATCTTGGTTGTATAGTACATGGATGGTGCAATTTGTTTGCATTTTATCAAAGTGAATTCATTCATATCGCAATTGATTAAAAAATTATTTCCGATATAGATTGTGATATGTCTATGTATATCCTTCTGAATCTAAAAATGTACATAAATAGACGATTAATTTTCGGGTGAAGGTATATTATTAGCTTGTTATTTATAAAATGAAATTCCTTATGAGTTGTAAAATAACCTAAAACTTTTGAAAATGTGAGGGACCGGGGTGTCCAGAGTTATATAGCCTGATCTTAAGAAAGCAAAAGGTAGCAAACTTTTTTTTTAAAATTATACTGAAACCTTAGAAAATTAAGATTTTTTTGTGACGAAAATTTGTATTGGAAGATTAATAAGATGTTGTATTTCTGGCACTGAAAAGTAATTTTGTTTCGGGTCTCTTAGTCATTTGGGTGAAAAATCCTTGAATTATGACATTTTTCCTACTAATTTGAGATACTTCTACAGAAGTTATAATTGCTTCTATGTTTAGAAAAATTTATTTTGCTATTTGAATAAGGAAGTTACCAAAAGAATATAAATTTTAATATGTGTTGAAAATTATTTCAAAAGGCATTTGTATAGAAGTTAAGTTTCTTTTCATTTGAGATGATTTTATACCTTATTTGAGAAATACTATGAATTAGTATTTTGTATGTGAATTTTTCACTATATTAAAAGGATACAGTAATGATATTGAATCTCTGATTCAGATGAGGAAAAAGCTCAGTAGTAATTGTGTGATCACTTTTTGGTGGGGTGTTATGGTATTGGAATTGCCTGGCATTGAGGTTGATTAAGCAACCTCTTGGCGAGTATTGCACTAGGAATTAAACCAACCATATTTGTGTCGATGAATTGTGATTGCCAAGGCATAATAACCATTGTAAGAAAATAAATCTTTCAGTGGAAAGAGTAAACACATTCTTTTGAAACATAATGTGATAAAGTAATTACTTAGAATAGCAAATTTTTTCATTCATATTATGTGTAGTCAAAAGAGGATTTGGCCAATCCCTTGACTTATAAGTGAAATATCAAGGGGCTTAGTAGGCAAGATTACCTTAAAACATACACTTGTGAGTTAGAAATGAAAGGTTGAGTGAAGGATCAATTAGAGGTACGCGCAATCTATCCCAAACGCTCCAAATTTAAAAAATTATGACTTCTGGCCTTTCTGACACTTTGCATGGATTGGTTAATGTGCTAAAATGTTGGCCATTGACAGAGTAAATATCACTGGTGGTTATTCAATTTTGAGTATGTAACACAAAAATTATTTTTTGTTACATAAAAGTCATTCACTTTTGAGTTTGTAACACAAAGTCACTTTTTAAATTTTTGTGACATAAAAGTCATCCAACTTTGGCCAAGTTAACTAAAACGTAATATTACCTGAATTTTATATTTTATACAGAGAATATGACACGACACTTCAAAATAGCTATTTAGCTTAATAGAACATATCATATGTAATATATATTAATTTTAGAGACCTCTCCCTTGTGATTTATAAAATTACGTTTATCTCCATATTTAATTTCTTTGTAACGAATCGAAGCCATGGGAAACATATTGAGCTCTAGATTTGTGTTTGCCATCGAATTATTTGATGCTCTAACAATGACTCTTCTGCTAATTCAAAAAGATACTTTTATACAATTTATTAAACAAATGAGTATAAATTAATAAGGGTAAAATAATCAAATTATATTTTTTACATTGATGATAATGAGTTAAGAAATTTATTACAAAGTAATCAAAATAAAAAAAAATATAATATTCGTAAACCAGAACTGAGATTAACGAAACTTGGAAAGAGGTTTCTCAAATTATCCCAAATATGATAAACTTATTTTAGAGTGTTATGTCATATTTCCAGCATAAAATATAAAATTCGGGTGACATTCATTTTTTGGTTACCTAGTCAAAGTTGAATGACTTTTATGTGACCAAAAATAGAGAAGTGACTTTTTATTATAAACTCAAAGTTAAATGATTTTTATGTAACAAAATATAGAAAAATGACTTCTGTATTACAAACTCAAAGTTGAATGACCACCGATAAAATTTACCGTCATTCACGAGAGTATAAGTTTATAAATAGTGCACTATCGGCACGGCTTCTAATCATTGAAAAATTATATGCGTTTATACTGAAACTTATTTTCTGTTTCTTGCGAAAACATCGAATCCGTATTGCAATTTGTTAGCTTCATAAACAATATAACCATTATTACCAATTGGAATTACATAAAACTAAGGAAGAAAGAATACCCCATCCATTATTTCTATTTTGACCTAAGGTTTAAAGAGTCACTGACTATTGACTCTTTAAAAATGACATTCAATCGTTTCCAAAATAAATAGATAAAGCAAAAGAAATGAGAATGAAAATTTTATATCATATCTGCCAGCCTTCAAGGATTTGAATGCACCTATGCAGTTTTCTCCAACGTTCTTGCCGCGGCTTTGTAAGAATATTGTTTCTTTGGTATCTAATTACAAGTTTGGTCATAGAAAATAAGTTACAAGGTTGATAACTTATACCGAGTCACAAAATAGTTACTAGTAATTATATATCACGGTCTGAAAAGATCATGAACTATTAAAGGACATTTTTTCAATTTCGCTGAATAGTTCTTTCTTTAACATTTCAATTCTTGAAAAAAGAAGTGCTAATAAAAGAACTTTCACGTTTTTTTCACTGAACAGTGCAGGAAAGATAAAGAGCAAATAGTAAATTTGAAAAGAAAAATTTTTGATAGTTGGCCTTGTATCAGGGAAGAGATGGTATTATTGTTAATCTATAACATGTGACCAACAAATGACTAAAGACCCTTTCTTATAATGTGACATTGTAATTCGAAAATACTTTCAACAAAAATTAGCTCGTAACAGATTTCAAAATTTCCTTCGACGTTTTTCAAACTCTCCAAAATAAACACAGAAAAATAATACTTAATGAATTCCAGTACTCTCCAATACACAAGCAAAGAAAAATAGTTATTGCATTCTTACCAGCTGCCCAAGATTTTCCTTCTCTGTTTCTTTCTTTTTATTTAAACCATTTATTATTCTATTTTATAGGTAATGAATTAATCAGCGATGTTCAATAAATGGAGGGATTCTCTTGTAATTCCGGAAAACCCACATAAGGTAGCCAGTTTACTAGATACTAGTATTAAAATACTACTCCTTGTAATTATTGTTGATCTACTCAAACATTAGGCAAATCACTTTAATAAACACGAGTTAGTTCTGTAAAAGTCATTGAACGCTTATTATTTTCCTACTCACATTCAGGTTCCTCTCATGAACATCAAAATTCTCACAAATCACTTTCTTGCTGTCTCCCATGCTATTTCTCCCTTTACTCAGGCCATTTGCTTCTTCAGGAATGTCATATTTTATGCTGCTTTTTCTAACAAATTTTACATAACTAAACAAGCAAAATCCACATGCAAAAACCAACATTCTTCTTTCCTTCTAATTATTCTTAACTAAAAATGTGACGTGTTTTTATGTGAGGATAAAGGAGAATAAAACGGGGCTTTGCAAGTTGGTTTCTGGAGCATTTCTTGAACAAGGCGTGCCATTCTCGTGTGTGCTGCTTCTAGTATTTCTTTGTCCATCCGTACAAGTGACATAATAGTATAAATAAGCATGTATCGCAAAGAGACTCCAACCAAAACCAGTTGTCCCTAACAGCTTTTGATCTGAAGGTTTGGAGTCTGTTCTCTATTGTAAGTAATTGCCATATAGAGAAAATTTTAGTGTTCTTTCAAAACTAGTTTTCCTTCATTCCATTCCCCTATTTTGATCAAATGATGATATGCTTCCCCTCTTTGGAGATGGTTATTTTCTTAAAGTGTATCGAGTACCCTCTGAAATGTCCAGGGACTCTCGCTTTCCTTGACTCAAATATCATGAGACAGAGCAGGGGCTAGATTGGAATCCAATCTTATTGTTGTTTTTCATTTACAATTCTATCTTATGTTTCCCATGGAAATCACTATTTGATCATCTCTATCTTCTATAACTTCTTATTAATTTTCTGTAATGTTGCGCGACCTGTCTATAAACTTACTATGTGTATAATTTTCTGTAATGCTGTGCGACCTGTGTATCTTCTATATACTTACTATTTCATCATCTGCTCTTTTTTACATACTATGTTAGGCTATGTTTTCCAAATATATCATGCAAATACCTTCATAATTCTTGATGGTTCTTCCGTTTCAGGCCAACTCAAGCATTTGATTTATGGAGAAACAGAATTTAGACCTGTACTGGCAGAATATTCAGATTATGCGGGAGAATGACAGGCTAAGGAAGACTGCTCAACGGCTGAGACAGGAGAACCAGGCTTTGTATACTGAGCTAAAACAGAGACTAGCAGCAGCAAGAATTAATCAAATACCTGAACTTGAACTTACCCTTGGCCCCAGTCCTGCTGCAGACCAAATGAAAGCAAAGAAACCTCAGCCACCTCCATGCAGCTGAAGCAATGCTTGTTTCTGGTCTCGGTCCAGGCTCAAGGTTGTTGGACGTTTAAGCATGAGTGTTGCTTGTGTTGTCGCAATTCAGAGATTTCTGTTGTTTGAAACAAAAAAGTTCATAGGAATAAGCACTGAGAAATAAAGCATCAACATATCTATATTACTTGATGAGAATCAATTTGCAGTTCTGTTGTGATACTTTAATGTTGCCTGGTCAGTTTCTTCATCCGGTTTTAACTTTACTAAGTTTTATAAAAGGCATAGTTTATATCTGTTTGTAATCTGAAATGATCTTTCATCCTCTAATATGCACTTGTGTCATGGTATGCAAATAACAGTAATAGGAAGAATTACCAACAGAAGCTGTCGCGAAGAAGGATATAAGCCAAAATTAAGATGAGCGGTTTGAGACCAGGCATTGGAAATTCGTCACATAAGATAGCATGAAACAGACAATGTTTATCAATACTATGTAAAATTGCAATGCGAAGAATAAGAGAATGAAAATAGAAACAAAAGAAAGAAAAAGAAAAAGATGGACAGTGGTAGTGCTAGGAAAACACCCTAGAATACTAATGTCATGGCCTCACCTCAGGTCTGTATGTTTACATATTGCCGTTAGTTTGTGAATTAGTTCATTCCTATATTATTTTCTTTATATTGTTATAGTTACTGATGAAGCAACACTTATAGTTTCATGCGTTTTTTTTACTTGGAAATAAACTAGTAAAATAAATAAACAATGACACACATGTATTATTTTCTGACCCCTAATTACTTCATATTTTTCACTGATCAATTATCCCCTTTCTATTAAGATTTCTCTGGAGAAAACATAAATTAAGTACTTTGATATAAACATAGAGAATACAAGCAATATGAGTTCTTTCAAAAGCCACTTGGCAATACCATTTAAAATCAATAGTGAACTAACCAACATAAGGTACATTTTTCTAACAGCATATGAAACTACAGGGTAGCTCAGATTATTTTTAAAGTTAGATATGGCCCTTTAATTAAGACAATCTAGCGAGAGGGCAGTGTAGTTTAACACTTTTGTGCATTCAAAAGCTGTGGAATCCAATGCAACCTCACTGGAAGATTACAGGAACAAGGAGATTTAGCAATGAAAACCCACTTTAAGTTCACAGTTATTACTCCAAAAGCATGGATGAAACATATTGCTAATACTCCGAGAAGTTCATTCTTTAGCATGCTCCAATACTAGTCATTGAAACTAACATATACAACAAGAAGCTTTCCAGATAGATACATAGCTTATTTATAGAATCTATTAAAGAGCATACCAACTTTCGCACATAAATAAGAGAAATGTTTTACAAAGTAGGAAAAGAACTCTTTGTTTATATATCGAAGACGAGAAATATTTACAGAAAAAAAGATACTAAGAACAAGAGCAACAGTTCACATTGAATGCTGATTTAGCAAAGATGATGCAATATAACCCATGGGAGTTCTCATGGCACAAAATCTTGGTGCAACAGCAGTGAATATCATGTGCACTTATGCACACCCCCAACGTAGCCAGGTGAGATATAAGAAGCTTTTAAGTAGGTATTATCTATTTCGCTGATTAGAAAAAGCAGAGAACATCGGACAAGATGTGAAGATGAAGTTTTACCTAATATTACAATAAGATTAAGTGCAGGCACTATATTATAGACCTTTCAATAAAGGCATACAGGGTATATAGATCAAGAAAAGAATGATACTGGACATACAATGTAATATCAATCTTGAAAAGAATGATAGTGGACAAATGATATTTCTACTCTTTGTTGTTGTATATATTCAATGATGTATTAGTAGATATTTCTTCAGTTAGCAGATTTCTACTTAAAAAGATTTTCCACCAAAAGTCAAATATCAGCAATAAAAATGTGTCTAAGCTCTAAATATCTTTCCTTTTTGATAAGTAATGTGTCCAAAATTTAATTTGTCAACATTTTATCTCATGCAAATAACGATAACAGAAAGAAAGTTCTGCATTTCGACTGCACCCACTAGTCTAGAGTATTAGTAAGCATAAGAACGAGATGCCTATTACTCCAAAACAGCAAATAAATTTCGTTTTGCAGCTATATTGACATATAGAATCTGCACAATTAATCATAACATAAGTTAGTAGAAAGGATTCAGAAAATTCGAGAGATGTGAAATAGTACGGCAGACAGACAGTTGAGATGATATAGAGCAAAACATGCAATTTGTAACTTTACAAGCAATTAATGCGGATAGATAAGCTACAGGCTAATTTTCCTCATCAATTAGCACTGTAAAATATAGGCTAGTTGTACGAAAGACCTTTTCAGAAAGAAGTTCGGAAACAGGGTGATGTATCCAGCAAATAAACTATTTCAGAATTTGCTCAGTCTATCGGAAGAGGTCTGAGTATCGGCAGCTCCTGCAAAACCACTTTCAGTAAGGAAAGCAGTTGAAGGAAGAATCCACCGAAAAACCTTTTATGTTGCTAATGAACACATCCAAACACTAATATAAGCAGGAATAAGAGTTAATTCAGATTACTCTTTTTGCACCAGGTAGCAGTTAAAATACTTTACTGTCACTATTACTGCCATTTATAGCTTGTGACGCCTCTTGTGAAGATCTTTTGTCGTTAAGCAGCTCATAAAGAATAAAGTAAATAAGGATCCAAGAGAGTGTTTCCTTGTCCATATTCTCGTGCACGTGAAAGGAGGAACAGAAAGTGATTCCAATGGACCATTCACGCCCATCAAAAGCAAAATGCCCAGCTCAGCTACTGAATGCTTTGCTTAGATAGGTGATACACTATCTAATGTGGAAGACGATATAAGACAGGTCTTATTTCACGCAAAATGTCTAGAATCAAAAAATAAAAATCCTTAAGAAACATCTATGCTTGCAGGAATGCATTTTGTATAAAGAGGCATTTTATAGCCAAGCATAATGTGAGTCAAATATCTCATGAATATTACCAAAAAAGCAAGTGCATCTATATATCTTCTTTTTTAATAATGACAAAAGCATTTGAATGTAATGCACTAGATATTGCAAGAGAAACATGACAAATGAAGATTTAGCATATAAAATTGAAATAGGATGGCTGAAATGGAGGAGTACTTACAATCGTGCTGCACAATAGGAAGATGGCCTTCCTCAAATCAGTTTATATCTCCATAGCGCCACTCTCTACCTAAAGACATTTTCAATGTGTCATATACTCTTTATCCACCACCGGATCCTCAAGGAAAACTTTTGGGCCCATTATGACCATTAGATTGTAATTCACCTGCACTTTATGAACTTAAAATCATTTTTCCTGTAATAAGTAGGATTTTAAATTCATGAATTTTCAATTAGTAAGCCAAAATCTAGATATTCCAACCGAACCTTAAAATACATGAACTTAAAAGGGCAGAAGAGTGAATGCTAATGAGAGTCAAAACCTTCTTAAAGAGAGTCAAATTCTTCAGATGGCAAGTACATGATCATTGCCAGGCAATATGAATTCATAACTATGCTCCCTCATGACTAATATTTGCCATCTCCACCTAATTTAAGATGTAGGAATCACCGCTCAACAAATATCACTGTATTTAATGCGAAGTTCTTTTTGTACTTCCAATATTCTACTACCGAGACACCTTCTTCAATATTTCCTTTGTTTTATTTTATATGACACTGATACTATTTGGGGATCAAACAGTTCTTCCTTTGACTATAAATTTGTTCATATTCTTTAATAGTATGCTGAATTACAAAATAATTTGTGACTTATAGTACTATTAATGTAGTTTCTAAATATGTTTTAATTCAATAAATTAAAGAATTCATGTCTAATTAAACTGGATACTGTCGCCCTAGCATTTCAAAATTCGTCATTCTTTTTGAAACGGATTATTTGGAAAGACTAAAATACTTTGAAATGTAACTTCATTTCAACTTTTAGCAACTCCCTTCATTCCAATTTTTATGAAAGTTTTTCCATTTCAGGATGTGCCAAAACGTCTATATTAGACTATTCATCTTTTCAACTTTGATCGATGTTTTCTCCACTAAACTATCTTTTCAACCATTACTTCAATATTTTTCTTCCACAATCACTAATACAATATACAAGTTAAGTAGTTTCTTAACTATGTGGAGCACTAAAAAAAGGCAGCGCGGTGCACTAAGCTCCCGCTATGCGAACGTCCGGGAGCCGAACCATAAGGGTCTATCGTAAACAGCCTTACACTACATTGGAAAGTAAGGAGTAGGATTTGTAACATACTCCAAATGATGAATGCCGCAAAAGGTTTCAGGTAACTATGCATCCCTTAATTACATACCTCCATAATACAAACTGAAAACCAACTCAAAAGTAGAAACATTACCGTAAGATTGTCAGCAAGAAGCAAACCGGTGGAGTAACGGAGACTAACAGCGGTGGGTACGAACGACTGAGCGGTAAAGCAATAACAACACGGCAGCACTTCGACGTCGTTGGTTTCTCCAGAACATCTCTACTCTCTAGTGAAGTGACGGTTGAAAATCGCTTGCACTTGTGTACTCATACTTTTATAGTGATTTCACTTTTTTACAGGAGTTTGATTAATTTATTGAAAGGGGAATATGAAGTTTTGGAAAGAAGAAACAGGATTTGGGGTGTTCGGAGAAAAATATTTTTCTTGAAATGGTTTTGTCACTTTTTTTTTTATATTTGATTGGTGAGCGAAATTTTTTTTTTTTTATATTTGGCTAAAATGGGAGGGAGGTTGGGAAAAGGGGGGTTCGTGGAGTAGGGGTGGGATGAGTAGAGAATTGGGGTAGTGGTGTGGGGTGGGCATGGGGTGAGTGGCTGGGGTGAGGATGGGTGATTGAGGTGGTGGGTAGGGGTTGGTGGGAGTGGGCAATAGGGTGTGAAATATTGAAAAAAAATATTTGAAAAATAGTTTTCTCCAATAGGAGGAAAATTGAGTTCACCAAAAAAATATTTTTGAAAGAATTGAAAAATATTTTTTCATTCGTACCAAACACACTCTTGATTCTAACTAAAATTCTTTAAGGTAAAATACATAAGTTCCCCATAAACTTGTCCAAATAACGCGGTTAAATACTTACTTTACAGGCACACATTTGAAGTAAATTATTTTTTCCTTAAAAGTTGATGTGAAAAAAAATAAAAAGAAGAAGGTGGGCCGCCTCTCTTCTTTCTCCTTCTTCCTCACCCCTTTCTTATTCAACTGAGTAGAGAGTTGGGGTAGTGGTGTGGGGTGGGCATGGGGTGAGTGGTTGGGGTGAGGATGGGTGATTGGGGTGGTGGGTAGGGGTTGGTGGGAGTGGGCAATAGGTTGT